TAATCTAGTTAACGGTCACTTCTGAAGATGTATGTTGTACATACGAAACGTCAAGGAAATTAACTTTGTATGACAAGAGCTACTTGACAATCAACTTTACAAGTAGAAAGTATTCAAAGCAATCACCTTTATCGCTATTAAAAATTATGAAGGTGTCAATTAATGTGTTGTTTAGAATTGATACCTCAAAGGGGTGAAAAAAAAAAAACAATCAAGCCACGCCCACAAAATAGGATCTTGGTACCTCTTGGGATTCTTCTGCAAATTTCCGACGAGCATCCCCGTCCTTTTTGTATGGGAGCCCCCTCCCCGGGAGGGAGGGTTCAAGACTTAACGCCACTGTTTTCAGCCGTCAAGGAATTTTTTAGGGTTGCACTCAAAGAAATGATAAGAAAAATAAAGGATTTCTGTCCTCAGAGACTGGAAATTATCTAGGCCTTGCGTTGAAGCGGAGCATTAGTCTCAGAATAGTGTAATATTCTACCCTGGGTATTGTTATCAATGACATGGTAATAAGTTATGGGAATCACTCTAACCTAGGATAAGCCCAAGACTAAGAAAAAATAGAAGCCGACAGCTAGATGACGCCGGACTAACTCGTTGGGTGGGCGGCCAAGCTCTTCGCTTTCGCGGCCTCGAGTAGAGTGACCAGGTGGAACAGGTGTAAATTCTCTTATACTGTTACTTGCATAATCCCCAGGGTATAAATTACCAATGGAAATGGTTTGCACAGTGTGATTAGTTCTGAAAAGAAGGGGTATTGAATTGTCCCATTCAATTTAAAAGTGCTCGCTTGCTCGTGCTCGCAAGATTTTTCCAACTGCTCCCTGGCTCGGATTCTCGTTAATGGCGAAACTGGTAAACATTGGGGAAACATGTATGCACGCGCTATAAATGTGTCTGGAAACATGCTTCTTTAGGTTTTGCTGACGCACATGATAATTCTTCGCGAAAGGTCAAGCCACCCGCAAAGGTAGAAAGTAACCTAGAGACATGAAGACATGAGGAATATTACTATTACTATTGTCCTGTTTTGCGCTAAGTGTCAGCCAGATTACTTGGTGCAAAACAAAATTATCCTTTTCATAAAAGAGAGATTAAGGCTAGCGGAAAATTTACAGAGTGCTCGCTGCTCGCAAGACAAATCTGATCACTGCTCGTGCTCGCAAAAATAAACGCAATGCTCCCATGCTCGCAGAGACCATTCGATACCCCTAAAAGAGATGTTGTTGGTGACTGAAGTTTCGACAACTTGAGCGGAAGTCATCTTCAAAGTTAGGTGAACAGTGTTTTTAAGTCCATGGTATTGTAAGTCTGGTCCCGTTGAAAGTGATTGATCAGTTGAGCTGTGATCGTATGGCCCATCAGACCGGAGCTTATCCCGGTTTCTATAGCATGAAGCGACTAGGAGTATT